ACTACCTATTTCTCTTCATATTTCAAAATCCGATATGGACATCGATATAGGATGTAAATATAGACAGAGTACCTATCGCAAGATGTGTGTGTGTGCGTATCGGTGTTTGATTGGAGTGATGGTGTCGTTTAGTTAAGATATTCTTTAAATTAAACGTAGGATACAATAACATAAACTGTAATTCAGTTTAATAAGCACAATTGTTTTCTTAGATTCGCGGCTTAGAATAAGGGCTTGACAGCACGCTGTTGACTCTTACTTTTTTGGAACAAAGGTACAAACGCAGGTCGCAACCAAGACATGATATCTATTTTCCTCACTCTTTCAGTCTTTAAATACTAAGTTTATGGATGCAACAGGTAAGTTTTTCAATACAACTTTCAAAATTCACAAATGACATAAAAATTGTAGGTTTGCACTTACAATTTTATTAATAAACAAAAAAGATTTTAGGCTATTGCATAGCTTTTATCACGGGCTTTGAGCGCGGCGACCGAATCAAGAAATTCCGTAACGGAAATAAACCTAACACCCCCTTACTCCGACCGACACAGCGGTGCGGCGTTGAAAGCCGTGTATCGTCTAACGTCGTTTCAGTTAGGCAGACTTCGGCACAGTGTTTGTGTGCGTGCGAGTAGACGTATGCGTGCAGATTAGCTGCTAAGTGATCATAACTAATTCTATCTCTTTTAGACACAATGCTAGGTGAGACAGCGTGCTTTTTGGCCGCGTCCACGAGTGAGTTCGAGCCCGCGACTAGTTGAACCTTAACGTGCATGTATGTGGTACGCTGTACGAAGATCGCACGGATCGAGACGAGCTGCTCCAAAATCGGACGAATACGTAAGCAGCTGTTTGTGAGAAAGTACACACATCAAAAGTGTCTAGGGATCAAGCATTTTTATGCGGATTTCTTGAGATTGAGATGTGGCTTTGTAATAAATTTATGATTTTATAAATTTATATGGATCCTTTTTGGTGCATTTCATAATTTGAATCAGGAACTGTGAATCAAATTCGAGTAAAAGATGAAAATCAGCTGTCAATATTTTCCCTATAAAAACATACAACGCATTGAAGACATTATTAGTGCTACTGTTTCCCTACTACTGATTAAAACCAACGTTATTATGGAGCGGCGACGTCATTTAAGCAGGGAAGAAATGCTCAGAGCCGTGGGAATGATAGAAGCTGGTTCCCGGCAACGTACTGTGGCTTTAGCTCTGAATACAAGTCAGAGTGTTATCAGAAGACTTTGGACACGATACCGAAGCACTGGTACCGTGGCTGAGCGCCATGGAGGACGGTATCGCTGCACCACACGGAGACAAGACCGATACATTCAAATCTTAACTCGAAGAGCTCCAACAATAACCGCCATGATGTTAGCCGTGAGGCTTCATCACTCTTCAGGGAACTTAATTAGCGACCAAACAGTCAGAAACCGCTTGCATGAAGTGAACCTTCATTCCCGAAGACCGCTACGGGTACCACCTATAGCAATGCACAATCGTAGGATTCGATATCAATGGGCTCTTGAACACAGAAATTGGGCAGAAGAACAATGGCGTTTCGTGTGCTTTTCTGATGAGTCTCGTTTTTGTATGAGACCGGATACAAGACGTATACGACACTGGAGAACCCCTGGACGCCAACAGCGATTAAAATCCTGCCAGGAAGTCCATCCTTATAGTGGTGGAACCATCATGGTATGGGCGGGTATTTGGATCGGCGGAAGAACTGAGTTGATTTGGATCAGAGGCAACCTCAACGCTCAAATTTATGCTGAGACGATTGTATCAGACGTCATCGTTCCTCTACAAGTGCAAATCGGTCCCTTATTTCAGTTAATGCATGATAATGCACGACCGCACACCGCAAGAGTTGTAAGACAGACTCTCGCCGCAGCTAACATCAATGTCCTGCCCTGGCCTGCTCAGTCGCCAGACTTGAACCCGATTGAGCATGCATGGGATATGCTACAGAGAAGAGCTCTGCCGAATATGGAGGGTATCCAGTCGCAAGAAGACCTTTTTTTGTTGTTGCAACGAACATGGGCGGCCATTCCACAGCGTGATTTGGATGAACTCATTTTGAGTATGCCAAACCGATGTTCTTGTGTTGTTAGTGTTCGCGGTAGAAATACGGATTATTAATTGTTTAAGTTATCCAATAAAATTTTAGAGAAAACTGTTATTTCAGTCTTTTTTTCGAACTTTTGTGTTAGTGGTTCAAATGTCAAAAATCCCTTTATTAGGAAAATGGCAAATTTCTTTATTAATGCAAAGGTGACTTGGTTTATCGTTACTGTGACAAACGAAAACACTTTATTTGATGAATCCTTAAAGAAAATTTTAATTAATATCAATCAGGAGAAAAGTTATTGCAAAAATATATGTTGATCCCTAGACACTTTTGATGTGTGTATATAGGTATCTATCATCTATGTACAACAGTGAATAGCTGTACGAGTAAGTTTTGAGTAACTTCTCATTTATTCAATAAAATAAAAAATAAAAATCTCCTCGGTCACCCCGCTCAAAAAGTGTAACTTGAATTAATATCAAAGAAAAAAATACTGCATAAATAAAATAAATAAATAATTATAATTGCATAACTTGATAAAAAATGCTATGCAGTGGCTTTACCGCGGCAGTCCCCGAGTGCCACACGTATTTTGTTTGTTTCTATTTCGAATAATAAGTCATGGTCATGCTATTGGAAGGAGGTACAAGGCCAAATCTTGAACAGTACAATCATTGCGTGCCGTTACCTTCTTTTATTTTAAGCACTGACGAAGATTTTCTTTGGGTTTGTTGAACAAATATAAAAAGAAATTAAATTTTATTTAAATTGTTTCACTGAAAGCTGTTTTGCATCGTCCAATATTTTCTCTATAATGCGATTCAACTAAGAATAGGACCGACTGGGCGCCATATTGTGATGTCATAGCTGTCAATTCAAACTAAATAGGTAGAGTGAGCAAAAAAAAAATTTTTTATTTAATACAACTTATTTACTAATATAAGTGAGAAAAAGCATTATATTTTTTTAATAACATTTATTTACTAAGATTGAGAAAAAAAAACACCGATTTTTAATAATATTTATTTATTAAGACTGTGAGAAAAAACATTAATCAGAATCTAGCTCTTCTTTTCCGCTCATCTTGCATTACCGCCGGATTAGTTATGAATAATAATCATGCACTATTACTAGGTCACATACGAACATGCATCCTTTATGTAAACGAAAGTTTGAAATCGAGTTTCTGAACGCAACTTAAAGTGACATTTGGTTGACGATTTAGGTTATCAACCATTCATGGCCAAAGCTCAATAAGTGAAAAAAAATATCAACCGATATTAATTATCAATATTTTTTATTGTTTGCTTACAAATGTTTGGTTTTTATTCTTGAATTAGCGGAGTGCTAAAAAAGGGTTCCAAGTTTTATTGGAAACAGTACTTTTCAAGCGACATTTGACAGATAGAGGTCATTGGCTTTTCTATTCTTATTTGAATCGCATTATACCACCCGTTCAGGTCATCTTTATAGCTGATACGAAGAATGGGCACATGAAACTTTTCAGAAAAACTGCTGCATATACTCAGAATCCTATTCATTCATGTAAAATGCTTTACAAAAATAAAGAATGGAATACAGCTGAAAATTAACTTTTATATCGAGGCTGTCACTTTCTTTGCTTCGTAATCAAAAGCGATAGCAATAGATTATGAAAGCATGTCATTTTGACAATCATTAAAAATAGGCTAGTTGACTCATGTCGAATTGTATTGAATAAATGTTTATTTCTTAAAGTATTTGGTCTAAGGAACCTAAATATATCGATTTCACTTCATAAAAGCAGAAGATTGCCGTAGAAATTTAATTTAAAAAATATATTTTTAGTCTATATATTTTAAACACTAAAAACGCTGTTCGCCACATCCGCCATGATTGTGACGTCTCTTTTAGTAAACAACTAAATGTCATTCATACATAACTTTAAAACTTGTATTATTAAAACTGATAATAAATGAAGAGACTTAAAATATTATTCAATGAGTACTTACATCAAAGTGATCTTCGCAAAAATAAATTTTACTATGAGTCGATAAAGTTGCAGGATCACTTTTAGCAAGTTCTAACCAGGTATTGCGTAGGTTAATTTTTTTCGGCACTTTAATCCACAACTTTCCTGGAGTCTTCAAGGTTCTTACATTCTCGTACAATAAAATAATGATAATTACTATATTTTTCGTGGTATCTATTAGAAATCATGTTTATTTTATTATTATAAACTCAGATAAGTTATTTTCTACGTGCTTACGAGTTTTTGTTTACTACCGTCAACGTCATGGCATAGATAATCTATAGACTAAAATGGCCGACAGCGTTTTTGTATGTCCATGAAAAGTCTATTTTAAAATTAAAGATTTGTAACTTTCTAGGTCTCAAAAAAATACAATACATTTTTTTTCGGTCTAATAGAACATTTATTAACCATTTAAAACCTTTTTCCAAAAAGGGTCAACTAGCCTATTGACGGGAGTTTTTGGCGGGATTTCATAGAGTGCGGTTGGCGTCATATTTTAAATATTCTTTAAATTCGTTCATAGTGGATATTGTGAAATAAAATTGGTGTGATTTTGTGTTACAATCGTCTGCGCAACTGAAGAATTAACGGAATCTTTAAAATATTCGCTATATCGGTCAAATGGATGTGAGAACTTTATTGTAGTGATGACTACCTTACAGAAGCTTAACGAGAAAACTGACTCAATACATTTCGTGCCAAACACTCCAAGAAACATTAAAATGCGTCACACCCACATTCTAATGTAAAAAAGGAAAATTAATACAAAAATAAGAAGATGGCTACATAGCTTTGCCTTTGCCTTTTCCAATAGCGAAGAATGGAACAAAAAAAATTGACGTCTTGAGTCGAGCGAGGAAGAGAAGCAAGAGTTTATTTTTAAAATAATATTAATGAATAATTCGTAGGAAATTGGCTACACATATAGTAAGAGAACAATAAATACTTTAAACAATGAATAAACTACAACGAAAAAGTTTTCTTTTATAAATATTCTAATTAAAAGCATTTTTATTGCAGCACAGTCAAAACAAATACTAATATTTGTTCTTTGTGTTACTTTCTGTCCAATGAAGGTATGGAATACTACACTAAACTAACACTATTCTTTTAATTGTATTTTTGAAATAACCTTGCTAATATCTGTAGATGCCAGCTGCAAATTTTGGTACTGTACTACTGACCAATGCTTTAAAAGAAGACTGTACCATTAAAAATGTCTGGAATCATAATCTCCATGAAGAGTTTCATGCTATAAGACAGGTACCTACCATTTATCACTATCCATTAGATTAGAATGTTACTGTTGTCCATTAGATTACAATTTAGAAAGGATTTAAAATAGAGGTTTGCTAATAGTCAATCAAATATGTTTATATAATAATGAAAAACATAGTGTTAAATTCCAGAATGATATATGTAATTTTGTTAGTCTGAATAAACAATATAGTTTGTCATGTCACCTGTTTATCATTGTTCAAAAGAATTTTATCAAGATTATTCAGAAGTACTGAATTTATCAACAGGTTGTACAAAAGTATCATTGGGTAGCCATGGACACAGAATTTCCTGGGGTAGTGGCTAGGCCCATAGGTGAATTTCGATCCACTGCTGATTACCAGTATCAACTACTAAGGTAAGTGACTGTCACATCATATTATAGGTACTGAATTTACTTAGAAAAACATCTGTAGTACTCAACCCTGACATTGGCAGAATTGTCTAAGGAGACAACAGCCAGCCTTTACAAAAATAGAATAGAATACTTAGAAAAAGCTTTTTTAGGTTGACCCATGTATTTCTTGCCTAGCATGTATAAGTAGCATCAAACTTCTTAAGCAAAACCACAGACAAATATTAATTGCGCTGTAGATGTTTTGTATGTAAAATTGCTACTGTGCAGATTTGCTTTAGAGAATGATCTCTCTCACGTGTCCATAAAAAGTGGATATTCATCATTCTGTTGTGTAATTCAGTAAAAATAACCAAATCAAAAACACCATTTTCATGTTGCCGCGAAAACGTTTTTCTGGACAATATGACGTCTTACTAGTGTGTGACATCACACGACTGTGATTATAATGTCAAACGATACAATGTAATGTCACTTTAACCGGAAGTTTACTTACTTGCGTGTGACGTCATTTTAGGCTCCGCCAATCCCAAGCGTTTTGGGTCACATGACAATAAATAAGAAAACTATTGTCTTTTTCCTGCGTTTTTAGTAAAATTATGAATATTTTTTTGAAGAATAGTATAAACCCCTGCCATTATTCATTCTAAGCACAGATGCTAACAATTGGCACTTTATTTTTAATACTGTCAAATACCCTATTGCAAAAAAAATTAAATGTCCTGAGGACAGTTCATTATGCTCTCGTCAAATCCATATTAATGTATTCTATTATCGCTTCGGGTGCAGCTCCTAAGAGTGTTGTGATAAGATTCGTTCATTATGCTCTCGTCAAATCCATATTAATGTATTCTATTATCGCTTCGGGTGCAGCTCCTAAGAGTGTTGTGATAAGATTCGAAAGTGCACAGGGTGCTGTACTCAAGGGTGATAATAACCTAATAAACCAATTGGATTATACCACAATAAGTGAATAATTAAACCTAAATGTAATAATATTGTTTTTCTTCTTACTTCTTATATTATATTATCCTGTTGTGGCATCACCATCCTGTACTCGGTCAGGCTGTCCCCGGACATAGGCCACCTCCAGGCACCTCCACCTTTATCTGTTCCACGCTGCCCCCCTCCAGCCTTTCGGCAAGTCGTCCTCCCATCTCTTTATTTGTCTTCCTCTTCTCCTTTTTCCGTCCCTTGGATACCATTCAGTGATATCTTTAGTCCACTTCTTTGTTTTGGATCTACACATGTGCCCCGTCCAACGCCATTTCAAGGTTTTTATCTTCTTGATCACGTCTATAACTTTTGTTTTTGCTCTGATGTTTCAGTGTTTGTCTGTCAGATAGACTGATGCCCAACATACTGCGCTCCATACTTTGTTGACATATTTTTAATTTCTGGGTTGAAGCGGCTGTGAAGACCCAAGTTTGACAACCGTATGTCAGTACCGGTAGAATACATGTATCCCAGACCCTCTTCTTCTCTGATATTTTTATATGTTTGTTTTTCATTATTTCCTTTAACTTTGGTTTTTTTGGTATGGTCTCGAAACCAATTAGATTGAGCGCCTAAAAATCCTATAATTGAATTTTATGATTTTTTTAATGAAGGTTCATCACACAGATGCAACCATACAAAATTCAAATATATAGCAGCACAGATTAATGTATTCAACTTAAGTTTTTAATGTAAGTTAAAGTTAACTCTCAACAATAGTATTAAGAAACATCTGGTCCCTTTGTTTGTAGTTTGGGCGCTGATACCTGCGACATAGTGTAAGGTAAAAAAATTAAAAAAACTGTGTAAACTATTTATATAGTTAGTTATTTCAAAAAAAAGAACGAAAAAGGCTGGAGAAGGCCGGTTGATGGTAGCCGATTTTAGCTTCTCAGCTTCCATTTAAAGTGAGAGTTGTAACGGGCGCCGGGAAGCTGGTGATATCTCCAGGTGTCCGGAATAACTTACGGGAACATCAGCTTTTAATCTCAAAGGCAGTTTTGACTAGGGTTGAATGATAAAGGTGTTTTCCTCTTCAATTATTTATTGTGAAAGTGTACATACCAGATTGGATTCCAGGCGTCAAAGTACATTAAGTAGTGGATTTACTTAGACTATTATGGCTGGTCCATGGTCAAAGATATCAAAATGATATTTATAAAGATATCATTAAAATTAAGGATTATAAAGAGTATAAAGAGCTGCGATTGCAGCTCTTTATAAGTTTTACTAAAGGGCCATTGGCACCTATATTAATTCACATTAATGCGGTGAGCGCATTTTTGAAAAAAGAAACCGAACTATAAATTAATATTATATTTCACATTTTTAAAAGTGACTGTTCGTGTCTGCAAAGAACCGAAAAGTAATGTTGCCAGGTCGTACTTCCAAAAACGCCGCGAGTCTCAGTGTTGGCGCATTAAAATTTAAATTTGGGCATGGACTAACCATAAATTACAAAAGTTTACTTAAATTTAGAATAACAATTATTACGTATTTGTTTTAATGTTTTATGAAATTAAGACAATTTTTAAAGATGTGTTTCGTTTATTAAAAAAAAATAGGGAAAATACTTAAGTGACGGATGTCAAACCATATATTATTTATCTATGTATGTGACGGCGTAAATACGACGTTACAATAGTTTTTGAGATTAATATGTGTATCAACGAATAGCTTAAGAATTATTTTGTTAAAGTTCTAAAAAAATATGTTGTTTATTTAATAACTTTTATATTTTGTTTTAATTCAGGTGTCTCTAACATTCTTATACAGGTGTAATGTTGATCTTCTAAGGATTATTCAATTAGGACTTACATTCATGGATGAAAGTGGGAAAACTCCTCCTGGCTGTACCACATGGCAATTTAATTTTAAATTCAATTTGCAGTAAGTTGCTAATATTTATACTTATTTGTTTGTATTTTTAATAACACATTTGCACCATGGGTGATTAGCAGAACATCAAAGGTCCAACATGAGACAAGTGTGACTGTAACTTGTTTTCTGTTGCTGAAGTATTGCAAACTTCATCATGAGGTTCTCTACAGCACAAAAACCTATGACAGAGTAGGATGACCAAGATACCTCAATGAATTGAAAGAAAACTTAAAACTTGACTAAAACCAGTTAATCTGCTGTTACATATGAACTTAGGACTTAGGGGGGTTAGCTTTAATTCTTTCCCATGTATAAAATGAAAGGGAACACACAATGAGCCAGAATTACAAAATTTGACCCTGGTTCATCATTTCAAATTCCAGGTTGGCAAACTTGATATTGCAATGTTGCCATTTTAACCATGCTGTTGCGTTCAGTGTTTTGGAATTTTATATGATGAACCAAGGTCTAATTTTTTACTCTTACTCATTGTGTGTTCCCTTACATGTTGCGAATTGAGAATCCGTAAATAGCTAACATTCATTCAATTTCAAATTATTTTCTAAAAGCTCTAGCTTCAGACTAAATTTCAGTCCAATTCGGCCGAAACTAAAGAAGACCGAAACTGAAGATTCGGTCGGACTTTACATGAAATAGATACATGATACATTAAACATCAGCCCAATATCCAATAGCCCGACGATTACATTACATGACGATAGATAAAGAAGCTAGGTCTGTGTAGGTGTCAACATCATTTCAGATATTTCTTTGTTAAATAATTTCAGGGAAGACATGTATGCACAAGATTCCATAGATTTACTTCAGAATTCAGGTCTCCAATTCAGGGAGCATGAGGAGCATGGAATAGAACCACTTGAGTTTGCTGAACTTCTCATGTCCTCGGGTATGCCTTTTGTAAATATATGGATAGATAACATTTATTCAAAGTTATTTCTAGTTATACTGATTCCAGGCCCCGTAGCATGAGCACCACAATTTACATTAAATCACGTCTTTGTTCGCGTCTAACTGTCATAGTTCACAGTAATTTGACATTTGAGCGTGATAAAAACGTGGTAGATATCATATCGTGATGCTCATGCTAGGGGGGCTGGCATTATATATTATAAATCTTTATTATTTATTAAAATCAGAAATATTTTTCATCAATTACAGGTATTGTACTTATGGATAACATAAAGTGGTTAAGCTTCCATTCCGGTTACGACTTTGGGTATTTACTGAAACTACTCACTGATCAAAATTTACCTCAAGAAGAAAATGATTTCTTTGACAGTCTCCGTCTATACTTTCCCACAGTTTACGATGTGAAAGTACGTACATATTTTAAGTATTTACTGCCTTATTACAGAACTAAAGTTATACCAGATTTAAAATTGCTGATGTCGTCTTTGTTTGTTAAAAAGAATACAGATACAGCATTGGCGTTAAACCAAGTCTAGCTTTAGTCCATATCAATCCATACTAAGTTTAATTACTATCCTGTCCTAATATTATGAATGTGAAATTTTGCGTGTTTGTTTGTTACCCAATCACGCTTAAACTACTAACCGGATTTGGATAAAATTCGCTACGCATATATTTTATTACCTGGATTGAGACATAGAATACTTACTTTTTATAACAGAAAAATGATAGGTTCCTGTGGGATTCTGAAAAACTTAAGTTAACGCTGACGAAGTCGCGGGTGGTCGCTAGTATTAAGTGGCTTCCACACGATACAATTTTACGCCCAATTTGATTAGATTGACAATTGAATTGTGTTGTGTGGACGGAAATATGAAATTGAAGGTCATTGGATGGTTGGTGTCGCCCGATTCGGGATTTCCGAATCAAATTGGGTGGTATGGACGCTAACTGGCCAATTTTTTAACGTAGTCACTGTGCAAGCAGCGTTCTGAGCGGGTGTGTGCGTTGACTTGTCTTTTGAGAAGAAAGATGGAGCAATTTGACGACAATATTATGTCTATTCGATCTGAACGGGAAATAATGGAGGAGATTTTAGATATATATAAAGACTTGCCATGCCTTTGGGATGTGTCTAACCCATTATATAAAAATAAACAAGATAGGCATAATTCTTTAGAGATTTTGCTGCATAAATGGAAAAATATTGATAAAAATATTACTCTTTAAGTATATCTATATTTAAGTTTATTAATTGAGTCACTTAAATATAATATAACTATATTTAAGGGACTCAATTGCTTTCTTTTTAATAAGCATTGTTTTGTCCACAGTCTTCTTTTTCTTTTTTTCTCATCAACATTTGTAGTTAGAGCCAAGATTAATCCAATTTTTGCATCTTGGTAAGAGGCATCCTAATTCAAACAAGTCCGTTCAGCAGAGGCAACAAATAAAACTGAAATTGGCGATCTTGTTGTGTATGTGTAGACGGACGACCAGATTGTACCCAATTCAATCTGCAATCAGATTGGCAATCAAATTGTGTCGTGTGGAAGGGGTTTTAGAAATACAAAAGTGTATGTCTGTTTGTTACCTTTTCACACTTAAACTACTAAACCGATTTAGATGAAATTTAGTATAGAGATAGTATGAGTCCCCAGGAAGGATATTGGATAGTTTTTATCGCAGATATAATCTTTTAAGTGGCTGAAAATGGAGGTGGAAATGTGTATGGGAACTAATATTTTCTCGCAGGCGAAGTCGCGGGCACCCATTTATTTTACAATCAGGCTTTTAAAAGTTTATTAATTACGCAATTACTCAAGTATAGTCTTATTTGAGAAATAAAAATAGATTTAACTTATTTCACTTTTAATAGTATCTGATGAAGTTGTGCAAGAATCTAAAGGGAGGCCTCCAGGAAGTGGCCGACCAGCTCGAACTGAGACGGGTGGGGCCTCAACATCAAGCAGGTTCGGATTCACACCTCACTGGAATGGCTTTCTTTAAAATTAAAGAGGTTAGTGAAAAATATTTAAAGCAAAAAAAGTAAAAAATAATATCTGGTTCATGATTTGGAAGTCGGGCGGTTCAAGATTAGTAGTTGTCATTCAAAGCGTAGTCAATTCAATGTTAAATAATATTTAAATTTCTTAATTTCTTTTGCAGATATTCTTTGATGGTAATATTGAAAGTACAAGTGGTCATCTTTACGGCTTAGGAGCCCCATTTGCGACTAACGCCAATAACTTCCAAGATAATGGTGAAAATGGAAATTCACCCTGATTATTGGAGTAAGAGAATACCAATTCTTACACCACCGCAGCCACGCGTGAAGGTTCTCAAAATGTGATTGTTATGTACCTGACAAGTAAATAGGGATAATGACGGGGAAAAGCAAACTATTTTCTGCTTAGTTCGTCAGTTTGATTGTCAAAAAATTATGGACAGATATTTTTTCTTTGGACCACCTACCAAAAAATGACAAAGATGATGATGATGATCACTTCTAAGCAAAAATTGTACCAAGACGTGACGTGGTGCGACATATCAAATCAATATTATCGTTTTAATTATGTGAATAAAGAAAAACATATGCGTCCAATACTGAAAATGGTCATTATCGCTATTGTGAAGAAAGACATTCCAGCGAGTGTTGTAAAGGATCCATTCTTTTCTCCATACAATTCTGCCCAATTTTGTACCTTAAGTATTATCATGCATTTGTGTGTCGAAAAATACTCCGAATACATCAAAAATAGAAATGGAGTTTATTACCCACTTGCACCATAAAAATCTCGTTCAAACATTTAAGGTAATGGAAACACCATATATTATATTATGGTGCACACACCATTTGTTCCTTGTTATTCACAAATAACTACGGAAATCACGTGATTGATTAATCACAATCAAGAAAAATAATTTAAACCAATTGTATTAACTGTCCAATGACAATTTGCGTTTAAGTAATAAAGTTTTTTTTCGCATAGTGCCTATTTAAATTCAGATTATCAGCAATTTTTATTGAAGTTATTGAGATTTTGATGAACGAGTCTTTTTAAGTATAATTCTCGATGTTTTTGAGATAGATTGTACCAAGCTACAAAATTGGGCAAAAATCAAAGGTCTCCTTTGTAAGGTACCACACACGTGAAACTAATTTATATTACAGCGCGCGAACACGTTTTAAAATTTATAGTCTTTTCGTTTCTCAGTAAAGAATCAGTTAAAGTACTTAAGTATATTTATTTTGTAAATATTCAAAACATTTGTACAATAGTTATTAGTTACTTATGTCATTTAAAAAATTAGTAATTTTTAGTCATGATTATCACTTGTCAAATTCCAAAGAACTGGCAAAGTAGATAGGTAGAACTTTTTAATTGTTTAAAAATATTATCGCTAATCTGTCTGTACTAGGGCACGGTAGGTCTTCCACAGACGGTGGTGTTAATATAAAAGCTTTAAATATTGATCGAAATTACCTATATTGAACCATGGCGCTTCAAAAAGTGTTAAAAAGGAAATATTTTCCTACAAGCTGCCACTTTGTAAATTATTTGAAAAATAAGTTAGGCTTTATTTTAGTCGAGTAGTTTCAAATCGCACTCAACAGAAGTTGCGACGCAGCCAATGCTTTACGCGCGATTGAAGATTGATTACTGTGGCAACGTAGGCCAACAATTACGCCAACCGTGTTATTTGAAAACGAAGAATAAGCTTGGGGTCATTAGGCAGTGTTTTCATCAAACCTTACAAATGACGTGTCCGTGAGGTAGCGTACCCACGACCAATACACGACTTTTCGTTATGTCATTAAATACTGCGTAAATAGTGCCAAATTAGTGTAAAAATAAAAAAAAAATACTGCCTCTTTAATTTAAGAAATAAAGATCATTTTTACTGTGTACGCTAGCATGACGTCAAGCTAGCGCACCCATGGCCGTCCCCAAGAACGGCATATATTGAAGCAACGAAATTGACACACAAAAATAGTTCGCAAATAGTGCCCTGCTTTACAAAAAATCATAATCAATACTCTTAAAGGACCAAAGATATTGAATCGAATTCACTTAAAATACTTTTACTGTTAGAGGCACTATTTGACACACTATTTATACATGTAGAATTGATAACGAGAAAAGTTCATTTTCTATGAGAACTATTATGGGTACGCCAGGTTGACGCTAGCTTAGAATGTTAAGTTCAATATCTTTGGCCCTTTAAGAGTATTGATTATGAAATTTTGTAAATCCAGGGCACTATTTGCGAACTATTTTTGTGTGTCAATTTCGTTGCTTAAATATATGCCGTTCTTGGGTACGCTAGCTTGACGTCATGCTAACGTACACAGTAAAAATTGTCTTTATTTCTTAAATTAAAGAGGCAGTGTTTTATTTTTATTTTTACACTAATTTGGCACTATTTACGCAGTATTTAATGACATAACGAAAAACCGTATATTGGTCGTGGGTACGCTAGAATCACAAACACCAAATGACGCCTTTTCTTTCGTTGTCGGCCCGCAGCGCCGTCTGTGTGGCAATCAGGGATAGATTTAGAGGAATGTGGAGCCCTATTTTAAAATGGAGCACCCCGTATTTGTTTAGCAATTCTAGTTCCTCTTATTTTGAAAAATAATTACGACTTTTGCTTTTGAATACGGACTCGATTACGCCTTTTATACGACCTTGTGGCTTATTTTTAGGATACCGATTTATTGTTTATTTGGAACCAAGTTGAGATGCATAAATTGCTATTTATGCGTCGATAGAATGCGAAAGCATGGCGTTTGTATACGAACGATTTGTATGTTTGCCTGTAATTAATGAACTCAGAAAACCTCACACACTGATAACAATCGAAAAACAGACGACATAGAAAGTACCTATTCATTAAAGTTATTAAAACTCCCAATTAATAATTATTAAATTATAATTCATAGCAATTGTAATTTTCTGCTCAATTGCAGCTCGAGGAACGTATGATAATTGTACTCTTTATTAGTATAATATTAAAAAACCGCAACTTCTAGAGAATTTACAACTTTACTATTTTGTTTCCTAATATTACAGCTATCAAATGTTGTTTATCGCATTCGTGTAAACCAATTTTATCGGGTGGGTCAAACCTCTATAGAACTTCTGGCATTGTCCTTTCTTTCCCAACCATCACATCAACCAGTATGAAGATGAGTAAGCCTTGATTTCCATTTCAGTGTTACCGTTGGGTAACATTTTGGAACTTAAACACATATATAGTTAACTAAATACGAACATTACAGTGCAAGTTAAATAAAAGCTTGTAAAAAGATAAAAAGACTCGTATTAGTTAATCAGAAAAGAATGATTTTCAAGTATCCCTACCGTTAAGCCTCGAAGACACTGGACGAGTTACAAGCTACAAGCCAGCGAGTTCGCTAGTAGTAGTACTCGCCCCGTATCATCGAGTAGCAGATGGTAAAAAAGCCGATGACACGAGGCGAGTTTACAAGCTGCTAGCAAACTCGCTGGCTTGTAGCTTGTAACTCGCCCCGTGTCATCGAAGCTTTAGACGATTCACCCACTGCAGCGCGCTAACGTCGTGTAGCATGTAGTGGCATATAAATAGAGCGTGATTTGCGCTACGCGTCGGAACGCGTAGCCAATGGACGAATGGGCCTAAAAACGCGCGTGGGACTACGGCGCTATACCCCGCCCGCGGAACGCCCCACGCCTACTGGTAGAATCTGCCACCGCGCCGACACTTGGTCAGTGTGTGGTAGGTCGCGGGATTTCTATAAGAACTGAGATAGGTACTTGCATACAACATTAAAATCTACGCTCACGCACTACTTCACGTAGCGTGGGTGAACCGCCATATGAATGAAACTGACGTACCAGGGCAACTTAACTCAAAAGGAGATAAAATACTCTCGACCTTTACAGTGGTGTGGCACGGTTTCCCATCAGTAACCCTAGTGCAGTGGTTCTCAAACTTTTTAAATGACGGAACCCTTTTGGGAAGCAAAATACTTGATGGAACCCTACAATAAAACAATTATTTTTATAAGTGTATTCTATATTAATCAGCATAATAAAAGTACAATGTATCCGTTACTAATTATTATTTACTTCACCACTTGGTAAGGACAATAATAGAAAACATTAAAAAAGAAAAAATCTAACTAGTGGGAGGTATGAAACTGTTTTTTATTTTTCATCAATTGCTTGATATCAGGTTTGATGGAAGAAAGTTGGAGTCTCATATCAGCTTCGGCGTCCAGTCTATTGCGATATTTTGTTTTCGTGGCTGCGTAGGTAGAGAATCCTGTTTCGCACAAATATGTAGTTGGGAACGGGAGAAGAATATCCAGAGCCATTTGGCCAAGCATTGCATATTCATCTTGGATTCTGCACCAAAAATCATTAAGAGGCGTCGTTTTGAACAATGACTCCATACTTGTGTCTGATGACATTTCTAAAAGAGATTCATATATCTCATTTGACATGTTTTCAGGCTTTTCCAAGTTGGGTAAAAAAGGATTATGAATCCAGGAGTTCACTTTAATTTTTGTATTGTGTTCTTCGGGAAAATACTTTTCAAAAGATGCGCGCATCGAACTGAGATATTGGACCAATTCTTCAAACACATTATCTTCAAACATTTCTGAGTCGTTTTCGCTAACAAACTCAGTGAGTAACGTAAAACTTTCTATTTCTTTCTTACCAATGCAAATGATCCAAAAATCTAATTTTCTTTTAAAAGTAGTTATTTTATTATAGGCCTGAAACACTGTTGTCTGTTTACCTTGCAATGATAAATTTAATTCGTTAAGTTTTTGAAAGATATCCGCCATAAAAGACAATCGGAACAACCAAGTTTTATCATACAAACGGTCCTTCAAATTAAAAGAAGTATCTGCTGAAAGAAACATTTGTAACTCGGCTCTAAGTTCAAATAGCCTTGTTAAAGTTTTTCCCCGAGACAGCCATCGCACTTCTGTATGGAGCAGCAGTGTTTTATGTTTGCTGCCATAATCTTCACACAATAATGAGAACAATCGGGATTGTAGTGGTCGTGATTTGATAAAATTAATTATTTTTACCGCTTCATCCATAACTAATTTTAGATTAGACGGCATTTGCTTCATCGCAAGTGCTTGTCTATGCAGAATACAATGACTGGAACTACAATTAGGCGCTTTATTTTTCATTCGTGACACTGCTCCTGCTGTTTTACCTGTCATCGCCTTGGCCCCATCTGTACAAATGTCAATGCAATTGTTCCAACTGAGATTATGTTCTTCAAAAAATATATTTATTTTATTAAAAATTTCTTCCCCGGTAGTGTTTGTAAGCAGCGATGAACACATAAGCATGTCTTCTTCAAAAGAACTTTTATATGGATATCTCACAATAACCAGCAGGATAGCCAAACCAGCGACATCAGTCGACTCGTCCATTTGCAAAGCGAATCGTGTATTTTGTAGACGTGTAACTAGTTCTTGTTTGACGTAGCTTGCCAGATCATGGATTCGTCGTGAAACAGTATCGTTTGATAGCGGAACAGTAGAAAGATGCTTTGCAGATTTTTCATCAAGCATACATTTTGTTATGTCTAATACACATGGTTTTATTAATTTCTCAGCGATAGTGTGCGCTTCACCTGCTTGTGCAATGCGATAGCTAACTAAGTATGATGCCTCCGTGGCCTTTTCGTTGGTAGTTTGTGTTACATGCATCATATTTTTTTGACTTTCTAATAACTGATCTTTTTTGCGAACAAAAAATTCTTTATTCTTGTCTTTAGTCTCGGGGTGTACGGTTTCTAAATGTCGACGCAATTTGGCAGGTGCCATGGAACTATTAGGAAGCAGTTTACTACAGAGCATGCAGAGAGGTGAGCCGTTGGAATCAACAAATCCGAAACTGAT